GCTCTTTCTCAAGTCTATATACCAAGATGGTAGCGATTTCCATCACGAAACAACAAGTCTGGTCTTGCTTCACTACAAAGAACCTTACAAAGTTCCTAATTTCGGACCAAATCTCCTCGAGCAATCGACACGCAGGACTGGCTGATGCAGCCTGGCTTGAGAAAGATAAAGCTGGCTTTCTCATTGGCATGGAACGAGATGGCTATGTCCAAAATGAGAGAGGCACTCTCGCGACTGAATTCAAATTTGTCTCCTGTGGGACACCAAGTTTGAAATCATCATCATCATCTTCATCAGCCTGGCTACGTCCACTGCAGGACAAAGGCCTCTCCCATGTTCCGCCAGTTAACCCGATCCTGTGCTTGCTGCTGCCAATTTATACCCGCAAACTTCTTAATCTCATCTGCCCACCTAACCTTCTGTCTCCCCCTAACTCGCTTGCCTTCTCTGGAAATCCAGTTAGTTACCCTTAATGACAAGTGGTTATCCTGTCTACGCGCTACATGCCCGGCCCATGTCCATTTCCTCTTCTTGATTTCAACTATGATATCCTTAACCCTCGTTTGTTCCCTAATCCACTCTGCTCTCTTCTTGTCTCTTAAGGTTACACCTACGATTTTTCTTTTCATTGCTCGCTGCATCGTCCTCCATTTAAGCTGAACCCTCTTTTTAAGTCTCCAGGTTTCTGCTCCATAGCTAAGTACCGGCAAGATACAGCTGTTATACACCTTCCTCTTGAGGGATAGTGGTGATCTACCTGTCATAATTTGAGAGTGCTTGCCAAATGAGCTCCACCCCATTCTTATTCTTCTAGTTACTTCAATCTCACAGCTCGGCTCCGTGGTTATTACCCGCCCTAAGTAGACAGTCTTTTACAACTTGAAGTGCACTATTACTTATCTTGAAGCGCTGCTCTCTTCCGAGGTTGTTGTACATTACTTTCGTTTTCTGCAGATTAATTTCAAGACCCATCTCTCTGCTTTCCTTGTCTAACTCCGTAATTATGAGTTGCAATTCGTCCCCTGAGTTAGTCAGCAATGCAATGTCATCGGCGAAGCGCAGGTTACTAAAGTACCCTTCATTAATTCTCATCTCTAACACTTTCCATTCTAGGCTCCTGAAAACCTCCTGTAAGCACGCGGTAAATAGCATTGGGGAGATTGTGTCGCCCTGCCTTACAACCTTCTTGATTGGTATTCTGTTGCTTTATTTATGAAACACTATGGTAGCAGTTGATGCCCTGTAGATTTCTTCCAGGATGTTTATATATACTTCATCGACGAAGTTTGAAATGGTCGATGGTGAATCATCGTCGCCTTTAGCAGCTCTAATCGAAGTCTGTCATCTTGGTGTCTTCATTAGTTACCCATTGGCTTGTGTCCACGTTCGACTCAAGTGGACACGTTCTAGATGTGACATCATGACTGCCTATACAATCCTTGAGATCTGTCTTCAACATCCATGAGTGGTGGTGCATCTTCTCAATTATTCTAACCGTAGGGCACCTGTTCAAGCTGGTAGCAGTCGTCTAGGTACTGCTCTTTGACTTCGTCACCAAAGATAACGTTCGACGCAACTTCACCATCTTGTTCAGAAAGCGAGATTTTGTGTTCACATGGTTTGCTACCTTTGTTTGACACTATCTCGCCTTAAGTATCTGAATGGGCAACAAGAAACTTGCCTTTGTTGCTTCTCTCAGCGCTGCTTGGAACACCGGGTTCTACAAGAATGCTGCTAACCAACGGTGAGCCACAATCGATCGACACAGCCTCTGACGCACTGGACTTGACAGCACCTTTCGTAACAAAATAACTGCTGTGGTTTTTTCACATCTGCAGCAGGGCACATTCCGTGCAACCACATTTTTCTCAATGACCGCTTCTTGTCCTCTTACTTGAAATCACTGCCACAGAGGTCGTGACCAGGAAACGGAAAGCACAAAAGCAACGCATCAGAGAAGACCTTGTTGCTGCACAACTAATGGTTCCTAAGAGGCTTGGTGCATAGTAGCCTATTAAACTCACCATTTACCTCTGCCTTGGGATCGTAGTAGATGATGCCCCTGATCCTATTGGTGACGGCACAGAGGAAAGTCTTCAGAGAGCGTGGCAACATGTGCACCTCCTGACAACATTTAGGCTCAGATATTTTCTAACATCCAGGGGCACGGAGGACAACTGTACAAGTGCTTCCTTGCGCACTGCCTCGGCCACCAAGCGTCCAACATGCATCTCTTGCCAAGTTCCTGGTGGCTGCCTTTCTTCTTGTCCTTGCCGTAATGAAATTTGTGCAGGAAAGTGCTCTTGTCAGTGCCGCCAGGCAGAGCATCCTTGCTTGCGCAGTCATTAATGCGAAACAAACTCATTTTGAAGGGCTCCTCTTAAGCCGCATCTGGGGTTGAGAGCTTGTGCAGAGATCCCAACATTCTAAGAGGCCCAGCTGTAACGGAACCTTGCCACCGACAGTGTAGCTTGGTGACAGACTGACACCGAAGCTGCAGTTCCTCTTGATGTGCATGTTCTAACGCCACGAAGATATCGTGTGTCAGCTACGGCTCAGGCCTCGGGCATGAAAAATGGCTCCATCGAGTGGCAGTGAAAGCAGGTGCAAAAGCCCCCGGATAGTACCACTTCATTCGCATCTTCTTGCACCACCAAGACACGGTGGGTCGGCAGCAGCTTAGGCCGCGGGCAATAGAAACGACCGCATCGAGTGACAGCGGAGGCAGATGTGGAAGCACTGAACCTGAGTAGTTCCACTTGACGCACATCTTCTCGCACTACGAAGACATGGTGCGACAAAGACAGCTCTTGTATCCTAAAAGCAGCATGCCTCCAGGTGCAAAGCAGACATGTTGGGCTTCAGTGCCACGAAACATCCAAGCATCTCAGCACGCACACCAACGCTGGCACACTGACTCGACTGCACAATAAATCATGGAATGAGCCGGGGTAACATTTGGGTGCTAATGGCCTTGTGACAGAGAGGGCTGCCTGCCCATATTATGAAGCTCCTGTGGTGCTTCGCAAATTGGGCTTTTTTTTCTAGCTCTGTAAATGCGTCTGCCCAATGTGGGCCTGGTCTCACTTCCCCGCATCTTCCATAAAACTACTGGCCCAGATGCAGCTGGTGTCGTTGACTGCAGGCAATAAGGTCATTCAACATCAAAGGGAATGAAAGGGCTGTTGCAGGATGTCGGGAGATCTTTTGCCGATTACAATGTATTGCTAAGGTTCAGTACCACTGCTTTAAGCCCTGCTATGGGTCAATGTCTTGCTGCTATGTGTATGCAAATATAGTCCTGTATATTAAGTTTGTGTCTTAAACGGCCATCGATTTGATGGCATCTTCTTCCAGAGCAACTACAAGAAGACAGTGATGGTTCCTATTGGAAATAAACAAATCTAGCCTTGCTTAGACACAAAGAACCTTCTGAATTTCCCAATTTGGGAAGAAATTTACTCCAGCTTACTTTCACAACCTTTACTTTTGTTTTTCAAGCTAAAGCAATGTTAGTCCCTGTGGTAAACCCATAGCAACCAATATTTTTTTTTTAAGACAACTTCAAAGAGTGGTTGTTTTCCTTTTATTTTGCTGAAGTTTCACAGTATTATGTCATCTTTCCATCTGCATCAATCAACAAAACACTTACATGACTGTTTTTCTAAACGATTCAGTAGCCAACAAGTACTGATACCAGTTAATGCATCTGCAGATGCTTCGTTCTGAAATGGTAAAGCATGCATAAAATGTAATTTCCTTTTGTATCCCACTTTACTAAAAAAACAAGGACGTAAAGTGACTTTTGAACAATTAAGATACAAAGAGTCGTCTTCTTTAAAAACTTAAAATTTATACAAGAAAGCACTAAACAAACTCTTTTAGTTCTTATAATAAAAATGAACGTCACTGCATAAATCACAACTAATAACAACCGCAGCTATAGCTCAGCCTATCATTATTTGTATTTTCTGCTGACTAAAATGTAGAGAGGAGCAAAAAGTAAAGAAGAATTGAAAAAAGAAGTCCCTGCAGAAGTGCGAGGACAAAAACAATAGCTCAGTGAAATTACCTGCCAGAAAATAAGCAACAGCGACACGTGCGAGTAATAACTTCACAACAAACTATTAGATGTGGCAGCTCTACACCTTACTGCAGCGCTTACTGTAGAGCAAGCAACACAGCCACCGCTACAATACTTCACGGTCAAATGTCTCACGCTGTGCATACCCCCCCCCCCCCCCCCTCGAAATCTAGCAGAATTTCTTTGTTAGGGGAAAAATACAAGTGTGGTTTTACCAAAGTGCATGCTGCGAAAAGAGGTTGCTTTCACATTTACTATGAGCTCTACAATGCAAGTCGAAGCCACAGCAATGATCTTGAATTGAAAAGGAGTGAGAGGACTTCAGCACTATAGCAAAGAGTAAACCCCCATGTTTTCTTACCGGAATGATGATACACTGGCTTACATAGGAGAGCAGATGTTTATATTGCCATGGTGCACCACTATGAACTAGAAACTCCCTAGATATTCTAATGGCCTTCTAATTTATAAGCAGCCAAAATAGCAGCTGAAATGGCAGACACCCCACAGCAAGAGTCCAAATCATCAAGAAGTAGCCAATAATCGAATGCAATACACTTCTTCAGGAATATATTCATCAATAGTAGCTTCATTATTATAGGCAAAACATGTTCTCAACATGTGCGATAGTCTTTGGGTAGTATGATGTATTGACAAAATCCACTCGTGTTTTCTCTTTCTTTAGAAAAAAAAAAACGTTATTGCATGTGTCCATAAAAACACTGAGCAAAGGCATACTAAAACACTTAGAAGCAGCTAGAAAAAGAACATAAATTGCAGGCATGACAAACTTGCTGCCAGAAGTGTTAAGCAGTATACAGTAGGCTCTTGATGGTACGAACTTGAAGGGGTCCACAATTTTGTTTGAATTTTGAGAAGTTTGTATTATTAAAAGTTGTCATAAAGATGACTTGGGGCAATGTAACACCTTGTATTCTAATATTTATTATTTATTATTACCACAGAAACAGCATAGACAGCTCTGCATGATTATCAGTGAAGATTTTGGATGTCAGCATTCACACTGGTACTCATCATACATGTTGGCACATTTGAAACTAATAACCAATAATATCTGGGGCTTTATCTTTCAAAACCATGACATGATTATGAGAGATGCCGTTGTGGAGGGCTCCAGAAATTTTGACCATCTGGTGTTATTTAACGTGCCTGAACATCGCACAGCGCATTGGCTTCTACCATTTCGCCGACATAAAAATGCATCCGGCGCGGCCAGGATCGAACCCGCGACCTTCAGGTTTGGAGTTGAGTTCCTTAGCCACTGCTCCACCTCGGCACACACATCTGTAATTAAGGGACAAACAATGCTGTGTCCTGTGACAACCAATATAAACCCATCCCAATTCTACTGCGCTTTTCCACATGACACTAGTGCACTACGATCAATGACTTAAGCACATGCATTTGGCACACAATCGACTAAGGCCAAAACGTCTCGTGTTTTTGCCCCCTTTTTAGCTCAGTCAACATGAAGTTCTTGGTGCACATGATTTGGCTAGTTTGTGCACTTTGTAGCAAGGCAACCGACAATATTTGCGGCCTTTAGTAATTTAAGAACACACATGTTCTGCTAGAAGCGACAACGGCAGCAGACGTTTTTCAAGTGAACCAAATTCAACGAAGCAGTTTGAATAAGGCAGTTTAAATGTAATTAAAGCACAGTGGGCACACCAGATTTTTAAAATCTGTTTTAATTACCCAAATGTTTGAATTATTCAGAGTCTACTTCGAATTGCATAGTGCATTGCTCCCTTCAGAATGCACTTCCAGGATAACGGAAAATTCCGAGCATGTACTATTCACAAAATTTAGTTAAAGAACAGAAACACATTAACACCCAAAGAAAACAATCAGAAATGTGAACAGGACAAGTTCACCATTAGTAGAATTCAACTACAAATGGTTTGCTAAATAACAATTCCCACAAAAAGAAGAGAAAAAACGGTGGTGGGACTGTTCTTACAGAACTGGTCAAGACATCATCTTCAATGTGGATTCAATCTTCAACATGAAAAAAAGGCATACTAACCCATTAACATATTATACTGTATTTATGGCAGATACTGAAAAATGGTATACTGACACGGCACTCTACTAGTGTGACTACAATTGCGAACTACGAAGGGAGTGCTGCAGCATCTGATTGTAATCAAACCAAAGCCTCTATACCATACTGTGCACCCACCTCAAGCAGCTCCATCTTCTGTTGTACAAGTAGATCAGTACAAATCAAAGTGGGCCTTTCCCTTCGCCTGAAAAAAGCACTCTTATTATTATATGCTTTGCTTTATAACTGTGGCCTTTATTTTCTATTTTAGTACTTACGAAAATAAATTAGGAATGCAGGTGTAAAACTCACTACAGGCCTCTACAAGTTCACTTTTGTCACTTTCCCTCTTAATGCAATCTTCAATCTTATGAAGTGCCTTATAACCTGTGAGGATCTGTTCCTTTGTGAGCATTCCTGTAACACAACACAAACAAATGCATTAGAAGTTATAAAAAACATGTGAATTTGTAGCGAGCCATGATAAGGAACTCACGCAAGGGTAATTTTACCAAATCAAACTTCATATCAACAACAGTTTCTCTCATTTTCTTCGAGATCAAATATCAGAGACATGAGTTTCTGAAAAAGTTAGAACACAGTAAGCTGGCTGCTCCTCTTTGTGGTTAGAATAACAAGCATACACCAAGAGAGAAAATGAACCAACCAGTAAATTGGGTTTGAGCCTGCTTGATGCAAAATTATTGGCAATGTCCTCATACAGCTGCTGAATATTCTCTTCTTGGGTTTTCTTTAAGTGCAAAAAGTTTTTCAGTGAACATATGCAACCTTCAAGCTGTGACATTCATGTACTTACAGAACCAGAGAACCAGAGTAGTAAACGCGTAAAGTATATATCTCTTCTAAGATTATGTGTGTGATGCTCGGGGTGGTCAATGTGTATGGTTGGTGCATGAGATTATGTCAAAATCTTAACGGCTTTTACATAGCACTAATGCCATACCTGTGTACTTATACCTAAGGTCCGGGAGGCAAGTGCCTCGTTGTAAATTCCAGCTGCAGCAGATGCCTCTTCAAAAAGGCTGTGCTACGAGTCACATCAGTCAAGTTTTGCAATGTCTAGTGGTAGGATAGTTTAGTGTAGTTAGACCTTGTTCAGAAGTTGTGCTTCGTTTAAAAAGCTGATCACATCAGCTATGGGTATTAGGGCGTCATCGCCCAAGAGTAGCATTGAATGAAAGGGAATATTTAACCTGTAAAACATATGGAAATGTTTTTCTCTTAATGTTTCCATATGTGGGCAAGCTATTAAAATGTGCATTACAGTTAGTTGCTCTTGACACTTATCGCATGTTGGAGCTTCTTCGCCTGCCAATAGATAGTTATGTGTGATGTGCGTATGACCTATTCGTAGTCGACATATAACTACTTCGATAAAACGTGCTTGATGAAGACAGGTCTTCCATTCACCAAGAACAGGTTTAATTAGGTGAAGTTTGTTGTTTTGTCGTGATTTCCATTCCTGCTGCCAGTGAAAGGTGGTGGCCCGGCGAACAGCTTGAATCCTATCTCTGGCAGGCATGTTGGTTTTTGACTCGCGCATCTCTTTTGCTGTTGCAGCTAGTTGGTCTGTCCTTTCATTGCCAGGGATCCCAACATGACTCGGGACCCAACAGAGGCGTATGGTGTGGTCATCAGGTGTGTGGGATAGCATGTTTAAAATATCGCCTATGAATGGCTCATACTGAGATTTATAATTGAGACTTTTCAGCACGCTTAACGAGTCTGTAAATATTACAGCTTTTTTATGTTTTGAGCTTATAATGCATCGTACTGCCATCCATAATGCATAGCACTCGGCGGTGTAGATGGATACAAACTGCGGTAGTCTAGTTATTTGCTCGTGTGTTGCTCCTACCACGCTGCTTCCGACATAAGCAGATGTCTTCGAACCATTAGTGTCAAATTCTTCGTAAGTGTTGTACGTTTCTTGTAATGTAAGGAATTCTTGTAGTATATGTTCACGTGGGGTGTTTTGTTTTTTACATGTGTGAGTGAAAAATCCAAGAATTTAGAGAAGTCACTCCATGGGACCAAACTAGGTGGCCTTCTGGCAATGAAGAGTGCTTCGTTAGGGACATTTAGGGCGTGAAATTTTTCTTCAAATCTTGTTGGCGTAGTGTTGTCGTAGGTCACAGCGTGTGACAATACTGTAGCATATATGATCTGGTGAAGAACGAACTCTAAGGACATATGTGAACATTAGCTTCATTCTCCTATATTCCAAGGATGGTTCGTTACTTTGGGCGTATAAGCTCGAAATAGGTGAGGTACGATAGGCACCTGTTGCGAGGCGTAACCCTTTGTTATGGATAGGGTCTAGGCGCTTAAGGTACGAGTCTCTTGCTGAACAGTAGATTATACTACCGTAGTCTAATTTGCTGCGTATTAAAGAGCGGTAGATGAGTAGGAGGCACTTACGGTCGGAACCCCAGTGCTTTCGGGACAAGACTTTGAGGACATTGAGGGCGTTGTTGAATTTCACCTTGAGATTATTAATGTGTGGAAGAAAATTGAGCTTCTTATCAAATACGACCCCCAGAAACTTCTGTTCTTGTTTTATTGGCAATACTGTTTCGTTTATTTTGAGTACGGGGTCTGGTTGTAAGCCTCGTTTCTGGAAGAACGCTACAGCAATCGTCCTTTCCTCAGAAAACCGGAAGCCGTTTTTGTTAGCCCATTGTGTTAGCTTGTTTAGTGCTATTTGAATATGCTGCTGGCACGTCGCCATGTTAGATGACCGGCACGCTATTTGGAGATCATCCACATACAGTGAGTGCTTAAGAGTAGATGGTATGACCTGGTTCACAGAGTTCATTTTGACGATAAAGAGAGTTGTGCTTAAGACACAGCCCTGAGGCACACCGTTCTCTTGAGTAAAAGTTTCTGAAAGTGTGGTACCGAAACGAACCTGAAAAGTTTGGTTCGATAGGAAGTCGGACAAGCAGTTGAGCATCCTTCCGCGAATTCTTTGATCTGCCAGGTCTCGTAAGATGCCGTACTTCCACGTTGTGTCATATGCCTTTTCAAGATCGAAAAATACTGCTAAGCAGTGTTGCTTGTACAAGAAAGCTTCTCGTACTGTATGTTCAAGGCGAACGAGGTGATCGGTGGTGGAACATCCTTTCTTGTAACCACATTGGTGGACATCTATCAAGTTATCGGTTTCTAGGATGTATGTTAGCCTAATATTAATAATGCTTTCGAAGGATTTCGTCATACAACTTGTGAGTGCTATGGGCCTGTAGCTTGTTGGTAATGTAGGGTTTTTTCGGGCTTTGAGAAATGGAATTATAATGGCTTTTTTCCACTCTGTTGGCATTCTGCCAGTGATACAATTAGCGTTAAAGAAGTGCAGCAATGCCTTCACCGTTTCCTGGGACAAATGGGCGAGCATTTGGTAATGTATTTTGTCTGGGCCAGGTGCTGTTGTTTTACCTTGAGAAAGCACTCGGTTAATTTCCTGCAGGGTTAAGGGGGAGTTGTATGATCTGTCGTGATAACCTGTAATAGGAAGCTTTTGTTTTTCTATAGATTGTTTATGTTTTAGGAAAGCTGCCGAATAGTTTGCTGAGCTCGAAATAGCACAAAAGTGCTGCGCTAGTAGGTCTGCCTGTTCGCCTAAAGTTGTCTGGATGCTAGGGGTTGAGAGAATGGGGATGGTATATGAACTGTAGTTGCCGTTCAACTTGTGCACCTGATCCCACATTCTTTTAGATGTAATGGAACTGTTAATAGATGAAATTTACTTTTTCCACGAGAGTTTTTCAGCCTGCCTGCGAATAAATCTTGCCTTTGCTCTCGCCTTTTTACATGCTAGGAGGTTCTCTCCTGTAGGATATTTATGAAAAACGCCCCACTCCTTGTTTTGCATTTTTTTAGCTTGTGTGCACTCTTTTGTCCACCAGGGTTTAAGTTTTTTCTTTATAACGCCGGAGGATTGTGGTATAGTTTGTTCGGCTGCCGCGAGTATGCAGGCGGTGACTGTCTCGTTCATTTTCTCTATGCTTAGGCCATCAAGCATCTCTTTTTTTAGGGCAGCTTTTTCAGTGAACAGTGGTCAGTCTGCCAGATGTAGTTTCCAACGCGGTGGTCGGGATGGAGTGGTGGGGAGGGTTCGTGTTAATTTTATGAGAGCAGGCATATGGTCACTGCTGTAAACATTATCTATCACGCTCCACTTTAGGTCGCAAAAGAGCGACGGTGAGCACAGCGCTAGATCTAAGCAGCTAGTGGCTCCTGTGCTTGGGGAGCAGTAGGTGACGCTTCCAGTATTTAAGACATACGTCATTGTTCAGAATAAAATCTTCGAGGGTTTGTCCTCTGGTGTCAGTTGTACTGCTTCCCCAAAGTGTTCCGTGCGCGTTAAAATCCCCTGCAATAACAAACGGTTCAGGCAGTTGGTCCAAAATATGCTCCATATCTTTAGTTGTAAAATGCGTGTGTGGGGGGATATAAATGGAACATATGGTGATAGTTTTGTGAGCTAAAATGGTGACGGCCACGGCCTCAATGTGACTGTTGATGGTGATCTCTCTCACTGCAATACCACTTTTGACGACAATAGCCACGCCGCCAGACAACCAGCTAGCGTGGACGTGATCTCGCCGTACTACGGTAAAACCTCTGAGGAAGTTGGTGTGTTTTTCTCCCAGATTGGTCTCCTGTAAGCACATAGCCATTGGAGAGAGACTACTTAGCAAAGCTTTTATGTCACCTATGTTGTGAATGAGTCCTCTACAATTCCAATGGAGAAGAAAAGCCATTTTGGGCAGTGAACTTGAGCGGAAAAGTGGAGTTAGAGTTGATTTGTTGGTGATAAAACATTGGTGACATGTGTGTGATACTAAAGTCAAAACAGAATGGTACCATAACCTTTCAGGTTATGGAAAACGAAACTTAGTTTACAGGGCTTTTTGGAGGCCCTGTAATTTGTCTTTTGTCCTTTTTGGAGCGGTCGAGAGAAACTCGCCGCTCCTTCGGCGCCGTTTGACAGGCGGTCGTGTCCATAGCTTCATGAGAAGCGTTGGACCGTCGCTTTGCCGAGCGATCCCTGGGCGTTGTAAGCTTCGGCTCAAGATACGAAGCCTTCAAACTCTCTACACCGGACGTCAACGAGGCTCCCGCAGTCTGCCCGTTGCCCTGGCTCATGCCAGTGCATGTCGACGCCTGTGGTGAGGCCTTGTTGGCTGAGGCCGGAGCAGTCTTGGCTGTTCCCGCATTAGGGACAAACGGCGGTCGCTCCAGCACGCTGTGCGTAGCTTGGGCGGCCACCTGATGCCGTCGTGGTGCTGCCCCCTGTTCCACCACTTCTGCAAATGATTTTGTTGCATAGTAAGGAGAGACACGATGCCTTGCTTCGCGGAAACTGATGTTGTGGGTGACTTTGATGGTAATCATTTCCTTTTCTTTTTTCCATGCTGTGCAGGATCTAGAATACGCCGAGTGTTCCCCATCGCAGTTCGCGCAGTGGGGTTCGGCCTTGCAGTCATCATCTGTAGAGTGGCCTGTGATACCACACCGTGCACAGGTAAGCTGCCCATGTCAACTCTGAGAAGCAT